AAAATGTATTGAGGCACATAATAATTTGTTTGAGAATGCACGGCGGCCATTTTGGCCACCGGCGCGTTCTGCGAATGTGTGCCACCATCTTGGATGCGGAAAGCATGATGTCACATGACGCCATGCGTGCGTGGCGTCAGGTGACGTCACACGACGATATAGGCGTTGCCATCTTGGTGTATACCTAGATATAAACCAAGATGGAGGTGCCCAACACGTGCGGTGTTATATGACGTCATGCGCCCTGCCTCCAGAATGCGCCAATGGTTAAATCCAAAATAGCATAAAAACGTGTTTTGTTTGATGAAATGAATGAAAATGTTTTTAGTTTTCGTTCATTTCATCTGATGAAATGAATTTTTAGTTGTTGCACATGTCTAATAATACGTGTGTGTGTGGTGGTGGGCGGGGGGATTTTAACTTTTTTTAAATAATGTTTTAATTTTTTTTTAATTGTTTTTATTTTTTTACTGTTTGGGGGCTTCGGGGAAATATTGGGGGTCTAAACAGACCCCTGATATTTACCTTTTAAAATAAAAAAGAAATTGAGGACACAAAGTCCTCCATTTCTTTTTCTGCAGCCTCAGCACTCAATGAATGAGAAGCACTCGGTACAAAGGCTTCCCATTCATTCAAAAACTGATGATAGTAAAACATTTACTATCACCAGTTACTGAATGGGGAGGAGCCTCTGTAGTGAGTTCTCCTCCCCATTGAGAAATTCATTCATAACTGGGGACACATAGTACTATGTGTCCCCAGTTATTTACAAACATTGGAGTGATCAGACGAAAGCTGCGGCTTATCTCCTCCTCACCGCTGGCCATACGACGTGAAAGCGCTCCCTCTCGCGCCCCCCCTTCCCCGCAGGCTTCAGCAGACTGTTTCTCCTCGGAACCAAGGACAGCGCTGAAGCGGGCGGTGGCGTGGCTGAGGAGGGAGCGCTGTCATGTAGGATGACCAGCGGTGAGGAGGAGAGAAGCCGCCCCAAGGACAAGCTGTGTCTACCGCTGGGCCCTTGTTCCCATGGCGCCCTGTGCGGCCGCACAGCTCGCACACCCCAAAGGCCGGCCCTGACTGAGACCGCCGCGGCCGGGACAGATCCCGACATTACTGTCAAGATCCACCCAGCTGCGTGAGTGACAGCTGGCTCTGCCTATCTAGAGGCAGAGCCAGCTG